AGGGCGCGTGGAAGAACAAGTCCAACACTGTGAGAAGCTTCACATACCTGGAAAGAACAACATTCTTGGCGAAAATGAATGGAATCTTGAAGAATGCTTGAAACCTAGCTTTTTCTCCTCTTGAAATCCTGCTCTATTTTTTCGAAGCGTTAAAGAACGTAAAAAGGTGGTTTTACATCTGATTAGACCCTTAATTGGGTGAAGAAAAATGTGTCTAGGCTTATACGGAAAGAAAAAAGATCAAACTACCCCTCTAAAAATGATTGAGATGCCTTTAGAAGAGAGGCTTCACTAAAACGGGAATAACTTTCTACTCCGAACTCAAAATTAAGCAAACTTGGTGGCGTTAGTGTTGCTCCCCAATATACACGCAAGTGTACGTTGTCGCACAAGTAATATAGATTCTTTAAGAAACGAGTTATCATTCCCAAGGGACTTATGATTAATTTATATTTAACACTTAATTCTACAAATAAAAGCAAAAGTAACCGTTTAAGAGATTGTGATGATTGCTAACTACTAATAATTATGCACTAAATAAAAGTAACCAATTGTGAACGACTTTAATATGATGATTCAAGCAAGTAAAAAACAATTCTAGGGCTGCATCATATTCTGAATCTCATGCATCATATTATTGGCTCAGAACTATTTTCAGTTGTCAAGTTACTAATTTACAGGGTTAATTGTATGATCTGGGTTCACACCTCTTGTCGCCTACCCCAATTAGCTATCTAACTACATCGTTGAGCGGGGATAAATAGACTAACTGGCGAGCATTTATATTTCATCCTGTTTCGTAAACAAGCAAGGTGTTCATCTGGGCGTCACTTCTGAACACTAATCACCTCAATCTAATGGGTGTATCGAACTCTCTATATTCTCTTGTCTATCTAATCCCTCCTCTCTCGATTTTAAGATTAGACAATATATTTATCTTATGATGCGCAAGCATAAACTACTAAAACAAGAATATAGAAGTAACTTATAATGACAACCAAGAATTAATTCAAAAAGCCTTTAATAATCAACAATCCATTCGTAGCTATAGCCCCAGAATAAGGGCGTTTAGCCACTAATCTCTAAGAAAACAAGAAGAAGAAAAGAACCCTAAAAAGTATTGACGACTTTCTACTTGATGCCCTATATTTCCCTCCTCTAGATTTCTATTTCCTTCTAATAATTTTTTTTCTATCTTTTGTGATGCATTCCTAATATATATTAACATTCCTTAATTATTAATTTTTATAATATATCTTACCATATATTTTAGGATAACTTTATTTTTGATAAATATTTACCTTTTATCATATATTTTAGGACACATTAATTTAAATTTTATAATGAAATCAAATAATAATTTGAGAAAAGTAGAAAATTACAATTTTGCCTATTATATATATATATATATATATTTATTTTTTGAAAAAAAATAATTAAAAGTGTAGGGGCTAAATCCCCATTTATTCAATTAAGAAAGAGAAACCTGTACAAACAAAAAAAAATAAGAAGAAAAATCAAACTAGGAAAATGTAGGTGGTCTTCATGGAGGATAGATCCAACTGGAAGAGAAGTGTAGAAGCCCGTCGGAGCGCTTCAATATTCTTTGTCATCAATGATTTACACCATTAAAACATCTTATTCCTCAATGAAGAAGTGTTATTCAATCATAACCAACTTCTCAATGTTCATTTCCATCTAGCCATTAAAAAACATTTCTAAGGATCATCATCCTTTTAATAGGGAAAAATGTCTGAAATATATCTGAACTTTGATCGAAATTGTTGTAACGATACCAAACTTTGGAAATGACTTTTTACTCATGCATTATTTAATAGTGTATTTTAAAGGTATATATGTGCCCACGTGGACATCATAAATATACCTTTAAAATATTGTATTAAATAGTGCAGAGGGGGTAAAAGGTCCTTCATAAAGTTTGGTATCGTAATAGCAATTTCGGCCAAAGTTAGAGTATTTTTCAGACTATTTTCCCCTTTTAAAATAATATAGATTAGTAGCCTTCCAATCTTCCCAAATTTTAAAACTCCAATGAGATGCCTCCAATGCATAAATACAAGATTCACATGAAGAATTCTTACATGAAAACTTACAACCAATTATAGAGGGCATCATCAATCTCAAGATCGAGATATATATTCTATCAACTAATTATTATTGTATTAATGTTATTTATTATCATCCAATCTATCATAAATGTGTGCCCAACGGAAGAGTTTTACCTTTTGACAGATCAATATAATAAATCAAGTTACATTGATCATAACAATTATACAAGATTTAGAGTAAAAGTACATTTAATGAACTAGAGAAGTTGTTTTGTAAAATATTTCAAATATAAACTAACATCTCTACCCGGTCCGTTAATAAACACGAATAATATAATAGCACAAGAAGTTGAAATAGAGTCACTCTCATAATCAAGATCAAATTATATTTAATCTTGTGCTACAATCATCAGGATGTTTGTTTGGTTTCATCTTTCATTATAAACATTGATTTATAACTTATAAGGATCGATAATGTAACATCTCGCAATTTGAAATAGCTAGGAAGAAGCTAAGAACTGGAAATAGTCATTTTTGGAAATAATGGAAATCTGGAAATTTGTTCAAGTTAGGAAAAAGTTGAGTTTTTGCCAACTTCAAACGACCATAACTTCTAGCTCAAGATGATTTAGAGGTACTTCCAGATATGGTAGGAAAGATCTTGGAATGATCTTTCCAACGCCGCTGAGTTTACGCAATTCCAAGTTCATATGAGTGAGTTATGCCCTTCAGAAGTTGGGCGGTTGGATTAAGGAAAGTCTAAATCCGGATTTTAAAAGGGTAATTTAGTCTTTTCCTTACCTAATTATTCTAATTTGTTTTTAGGAGTTTAATTGGGGTAAAGTCAGATTTTAGTCAGTTTTAGAAAAGTGAATTTCACGCTAGGGCTTGGAGAAAGGAGAAAAGAGGAGAAAGGAGAAGAACGTTCAAGATTCGTTCAAGGTTCGTCGAGATTAGCTAGTGGATTTCATCGGGGGTGATCCTACAAGATATGTGAGATCACATAGCGTTGGGTTAGTTCATCCACGCGCCAATCATGATTCAATTTCAGCGAAGTTATTAGATTTGAAAGTAAATCCTTGAGTTCTTGATAAATTTTCATTTGAATTCTTGTGGGTTGTGTTGATTGGAGTTTCTTGAGATTGATTCACGTTTTTAGGTTTGATTTTGAGTAGAATCTGATGTACTTTGATCATATAATTGATTCTAAGTGTTTGGGAAAAGAACCCATGGAGTTTAGGGGGTTTAGAGTTGGAAAACAAAGAAGAAATTTCGTCGATCGAAATTTGACACTACCCCGTGTCGCGGACCCACTCCCCAGGACTGAGAAAAATCATTTCGCGTCGCAGAGCGGTCACGGACCGTTCTACCTCAAAAGTTATTTTTGAAACCAAAAATTAAATATGTCTCCGCGTCGCGGACCCACTCTCAAATATCGATTTTTGGTCTTTTCTCATGTTTAGCCATTTAAAATCATTCCTAAACATCATGAGATCTTTCCAATCACAAATCACAATCCTTGAATCCATAATTCAATTCAAGGATCAGTTAAGAGTCAAGTCAAGAGCAGTTAAGATCAAAGTTAAGAGAAGTTCTTAGACTCTTCCAAAAGTCTTTTGCAAATGTTTTAACTTTGTTTTAAGACTTAGAGTTCAAGTTGAGTAAAGAGTAAAGAGTAAAGTTTGAAGTCCATTTCTTCAAAAGTATATGGGGACTATGTATTCCCAAAGGGTTTAAAATGTTTTCACATTTAAACAAGAAAAGAAAACCTCGATTTCCAAAGGGCCTTCGGGCTAGTTTTCAGAAAAGAGTAATCGCTTTCTAAATGAAGCAAGAGAGGAAACTTTAATTTCCAAGATAGCCTTTGAGCTAAGTTTTTGAGAATTAATCTCAAGTCACAAAAGAAGTTTGTTTTTAAACATAAAGAGCTAGTATCATATTTTGGGAGTAGTATTGAGCACCGATATGGGGGAGCGTTTAGAGAACCCACAGCCCCCATAAACCATGTAACCATCATGGGTAGAAAATGGTCATACTTTTTAGATGAACATTTAGTGCTTTTTAGCATAGACTAATGAATCCACTTAGTAGTTCATGTTCTATACCCTCAGCAAGGTATAGGACGACCCTGGCAGCGTGAGGCAAAACGTTGTATCATCACAATAGCTCTTACGTGATGGTTGTCGGTTAGAGAAACTCCCATAGAAGTAATTGTATTCTTATATACACAGTTTATTGTATTTTTACATACAATAAATTGTATTCATATATACATTTTCAGAGTTATAATGTATCTTTGCATACACACAAAGTTGACATCATGTTTTAAACAACTTTTCTTTATATTGCACTTATTTAAACTGTTTTATATTGAATTGAGTTCAATTATGTTGAGTTGAATTGAGCCAGGTAAGTTCTTCAGATTCCTTTCAAGCCTATGTTGTGTTTAGCATTCCAACTCGCATACTCGTACATTCAATGTACTGATGTCAGTTGGCCTGCATATTATTATGATGCAGATACATGTAACTAGAATCGACATCCAGCGCATCGTTGATCCAGAGAGACTCCAGAGTCAGTTGGTGAGTCTCCTTGCATTCCGGAGGACTCCTTTTATTTCACTTGGGGCCATCAATGGTTCTCGAATGCCAGTCATGTCCAGGGTGTAGGCGGGGCGTGACAGATAATTTTAATCTTCAGTTTATGAGATAAGGAACTCCATATACTAAATATCTACTATATAAGGAAAGGACAGACATGTTAATTACCCAATGATCTATTCAAATAATACTTTATTAAATTAAGTAAACAAAATAACAATCTTTACATATATAGGATAAAAAAACAATACTATAACTTAAACCACATGGTTAATAGTATATTCTAACACAAATAATTTCACACACTAAGACGTAGACAGATGAAACGAAAAATATTGTAGCTTAAAGATACATGGCCTTAGCTAATCTTGGTTTTGCCTGAGCAAGAAGTGGTAAGGTAGAAAAATGATTAATCTTAGATGACTCAATTAAATCATTGCATGGTGAATTTGGTGGTAAATTCCATGTAAATCCTTGAAGAAGCCTAGCAAGTAACATTGTAGTAATTGTTGAACCAAGTTTCACAGCTGGACAACCTCGTCTTCCAGTACTAAATGATAACAAGCGTAAGTTTGAATCAGTGAGAACTACTTCACCACCATCTTCCATTTTGAGGTGGCGCTCCGGCTTGAACTTTAATGGATCCTCCCAAACTCTAGAATTCCGGCCAAGTCCAAGACGACTTAATAGCACTATACTCCCTTTAGGAATGAAGTACTTTTCACCGACGATGGCATCAGAGACAGACACATGAGGAACATTAAAAGGCACAACGGGGTGGAGTCGAAAGGCCTCTTTTATGCAAGCCTTGAGATAATTTAGCCTTGACAAGTCTGATTCTTGAACCCATCTATTGATCCCAACAACAGTGTTGAGTTCTTCTATAGCCTTTTGCATTAACATTGGTTGATTTAACATTTCTGCAAGTACCCATTCAACAGCATTTGAGGGATTATCCACTGTTGCCGTTAATAATTCCTGAACATTATTTGTTTGTAACCAATCATGTCAACACTTTCTGAGTAGATGTGCACTAATTTATGCTTAATTTTATTTTTTATGATGAGAATGTACTAGTTAGTTTGGCCAAATTTTGGAAATCAAAAGTGCATATTTTAGAGAGCTGATGTGTTTGGTCAAAATATTTAAGAATAAGTGTTTTTGAGTAGTCGTATTGTACTAACGAGTATTGATAAAAATGTTTTATAAATTGATTAGCCAAACACACATTGCTATGATCCTCCAAAAGTACATATTTTATGAGTTATAAACTCTATTCAAAATAAGCAAATTTTGAAAGCTTGATTAGATAGTCTATCAATCATAAAATTAGCCAAAGGTGATAAAACAACACAAAACAACTTTGTTCACATTATTTATAAGTAATTGAATGTATACTTACAAGAATTTGTGCCTTAATCTCTTTAACATTCATCAATGGATTTCCATTTGTATGTTTGAGCATGATAAGAACATCAAGAATATCCTCTTCCAAAGATTTGTTGCCATCTTTCCATGTTTGTATCCTATGATCAACTTCAATATCAATATGTTTTGTTGCTGTAGCATAGGCTTTCTTGATAATTGCTTTGTGACCATCCAAATCAAAAATACTTAACCATGGTAAGTAATCTGATATACTAAAAGAAAAAACATATTGAAGAATTGTAAAAAGGGCATCAATTTCCTCTTGTTCTTCTATATTTCCAAATAATGATCTCTTGCTGAAAATCATATTCGTAATTACATTCCCACAATAATATCTTGTTACTTTCCTTAAGTTAATAACAAGTTGGTATCTGCATTGATTGTAAACAAATCGATGAAGGTGGTCAGCTTCTTCGTCCCTTTTAGGACGAAGCCATTGAAATGATTTTGGTGACAACACATGGGAAGTTAGCATATTTTTCATTTTCATCCATTGATCACCACTGGGGAGGAAAATTGAGGTCAAATAGCCATTACTAGCGATGCTCGCGGACATGCAAACAGGTCTGGATGAGAAAATAGAGTCCTGAATCTTCAAGAACTCACAAGCAAGTTCAGGAGAGGTTACAGGAATAACATGATAATTACCAACACGAATGCAAGCAATTTCAGTATTCATTTCCTCCATAATTTTGTGTATTCGATGAGTTAATGCATTCTTATTTTTTAGGATGATTTGAGGAAAACATCCAATTATAGGCCATGAATTTGGACCTGGAGGGAGTGGTTTATTGTTTCTTACACTACTATTCCATTTCTTTAGAATAATAGAAATGAATATTGTCAATATAATAGAAATTATAATGAAGAATGTAGTGTTACTGGAGATAATCATAAGAAGAAGGTTTGATATTTTCATCATTTTTCTCTTGTGATTGTTAAGGCTAATGTCTTCCACTATTTATAGGTGCTGCATGAACATGCAACTAATAAGGTAGGCTCAACAAAGAGGTAATAGAGTACTTCTTTCGTTTCAATTTATGTGATGTAGTTTGACTAATCAACATATAATTTAAGAAATATGATAAAACTTTTGCAATGTCTCAAAACTATCGGTAAAAAAACGTTGACTAAAAAAATGTGTGTCATATAATTAAATTGAGACAAAGTGTACTTCCTATAATTTAATTTTAACGTAACAACATATAATATGCAGCATAAGAGAGGCCACAAAATTAAAACATATTATTTTTTTTCCGACTATATAAAAAAGTCATAACTAGGACGATCAACGACGATTTAGTTAATTAATAAAAATTCCTAACGTTAAAGTAATTGTACATTTTGTACAGGGAGTACTAAATTAAATTCTTATGGCCGCATGATTATCTTCTATCCATTATTAGAAGAATAAAATAAAGCACATGGGAATATAAAAATGTAGGGGCCATTTATGGTATGCGAAAGTTATCACAAGCAACACAACTTAAGAATAATAGAAATGAAAATTGTCAATACAATAGAAATAATGAAGAATGTAGTGTTATTAGAGATAACAATAAGAAGAAGGTTTGATATTTTCATCATTTTCCCCTTGTGATTGCTAACTCTTTATGTCTTATACTATTTATAGGTGCTGCATGAACATCCAACTCAACAAGGAGGTATGGTAACTAGTTTAATAGAGTACTTCTTTCATTTCGATTTATGCGATGGAGTTTGACTGATCAGCATATAATTTAAAAAATATGTGAAAACTTTGCAATGTCTCAAAATTATCTTTAAAAAGACTACTTCTTTTGCCAAATAAGTGGGATCCAACATCAGTAAAATATTGATAGAACAATCAACAACAATCTAGTTAATTAATAAAAACTCCCAACTTAAAAGCAATTGTACATTTTGTACTGCAGGGAGTACTGAATTTCCAAAATAAGCATAAAATTGGATTAGGAGGAATCAATGTCTTAAATTTGTGATCTTAAATATGCTATATAAAAATATTAAAATTTAGAGGTTGTTTTCTTTTTAAAATGAAATAAAAAAAATAAGTTCATACGAAATGGAGGGAATCATTTTTTTTAAAAATGAAATATATATGTGGTATTATTAGAAAGATCTTTCATATGTATATTTTAAAAAATTATGCTGTCTTCCTTATATTAATCTGTGCATACATGTGGAGTTTCAAAGATTTGAACATTTTAAAATAGAAATATAATGATTTGAAAACTTTAGCACTTTCTTCGTTTTAATTTTTAATTTGTTATATATTCGAAAATTACATGAAAATAAAAACGCTTAAAATCACAATGTAATGATTTAAGAATTTTTTTAAAAAAAAACCTAGTTAAAAACCATATATGAAATTTAGTTGACCCTCTAATTCCATATTGAAACAAAAAAAAGTTAAATATATTATTTGAGAATAACGTAAAAAGTACTATAAATCACAATGAAATGACAACTAAAACTATGTGGGAATGATATAAGAAATTTCGTTGACTTTCCTAAAATCACTTGTGTCACATAAAATGGAACAGATGGAGTAACATATATTAAATGTACTATAAATCACCATAAATTAACAATTTAAAATATTTTTTAAGAAAAAGGCATACAAAAAATTTAGTTGACATTTCAAATTTCATTTGTGTCACATAAATTGAGGCAAAAAACTAACATACGTTGTGTCAAACCACAATTTTTGAAAAAACATTGATATCGAACCAAAAAAACTAAAGATATGAATTAATTCAATTCAACCTAATTTTTTAAACTACATTAATTTTTTGCTACGAAAGAAAAATCAAACCAATTTTTTTGAAAAAATATCAATGCCGAACCTAAAGACTAAAGAATTGAATTAATTCATTTCAACCTGATTTTTTTATATTTATGCCTATCCTTATCTTGAACTACAACAATTTTTTCATCAATGATTTAATTGCTACGAATTGACAAATCAAACCAAAAAGGTTGAAAATATCAATGTTGAACCTAAAAGCTAAAGAATTGAATTAATTTTCAACCTTATTTTTTCATATTTATGCATATGCTTATCTTGAACTACAGTAAAAAAAATTCCATCAATGATTTGATTGCTACAAATTGAGAAATCAAATCAAATCAATTTTTTTTGAAAAGATATCAATGTCGAACCTAAAAACTAAAGAATTGAATTAGTTCAATTCAACTTGATTTTTCGATATTTATGTGTATTATTATCTTGAGCTGCAATAAATTTTTTTCATTAATGATTTAATTGTTACGAATTGAGAAATCAAACCTTTTTTTTGAAAAAATATCAATGCCGAACCTAAAATTAAAGAATTAAATTAATTCAATTCAATCTGATTTTTTGATATTTATACCTATCCTTATCTTGAACTATAATAATTGTTTTCATCAATGATTTAATTACTACGAATTGAGAAATCAAACAATTTTTTTCAAAAAAATATCAATGTCAAACCTAAAAACTAAAGAATTGAATTAATGCAATTCAATCTGATTTTTGATATGTATGTTTATCCTTATCTTGAACTACAGTAATTTTTTCGATGCAAGAACCTAAAAACCAAAAAAATTGAAAAAAATATCAAATGCAAAACCTAAAAAGAAAATATGATTATTTTTTATATATATATTTGTGTCAATCCTAAACTATAGTACAAATATTTATGTGGTCTATACTGAAATTCACTGTAAAACAAGAAAGTATCTTTTTAAAAGTATTGACTTTTTTTGAAGTATAGTAAGGCTTGAGAGAGGCCACAAATCCTACTCGTGCCAGCTAGGGCGGCCTATATTTTTAGAATTTTTGATAGAGAAAAAAACGTTTGTTATTTAGAGATGACATAATGATTTAAATATATCTCTACTATTATAAAAAGAAATTGTGTTGAATTCCTCATGTATTCGTGTTGGATTTGAGAAACGAGAAGAGTTCAGAAGTCCCTACATATCCTACTCACGGGTCTAAGTGTGCATTCAAACTGAAGCTAGTTTACCTGAAAAATTTAAAGGTTCCATTTACAGAAAAATATAAGAGTTTTCAATTGCTATGCATATTGATCTTGGACTTGAAAGATAAGTCCATAAAAATACGTTTAAATATAAGTATGAGTTATGTTTTTGAAAAGTCCTTCGATAAAGTAAAATTCCATTTCCTTGCAAAGGGTGAATTGAGCATAATTGATATTGTTTATTATTTTGGGAGTAATATGGAGCACTGAATTGAGTTAGTCTTTTATAACTCGAAAGTCCATAAAACTACGTAGCCAGCGTAGGATAGGATAGCATTGACTCGTCATGCGACTCCTCACTGCCTCTGAGAAGGCCTATTAGATGGATCCATAATTAAGTACCATATCATGCTATACCCCGACGAAGTATAGGATAGTACATGCAACGTGGGCTAAACATTGTATCATTGTTAGGCTCATGGTAATGGTTGTCGGTTAGAGAAACTCTCCAAAGTAAAGTATATTATTTTTCATATTGCTTTTATTGCATAGCGTATGGTAAAGTTTAAATGGTTTACACTACATGTTCATGTATTGATTCTGTTGAGTTGTCTTCAGTCATTCAGTTCAGTTTCTGTTTTACTTAGCCATATTACATACTCGTACATTCAATGTACTGACATCATTCGACCTACATCTTTTATGATGCAGAAACAAGTGTTCAGGATCATCAACATGCGTTTCGTTGAGATCACCTTACACTCATAGACAATATTTGGTGAGGCCTCCTTGCTTTCGGGAGACTCTATTTACATTTTTGTTTTAGTAGTTTGAGGTGTCGTGGGTCTTGTCCCGACATCTATCTTGAAATGTTAGAGGCTTCATAGATAGATAGAATCAGATGTTTCCATTGTTTTCTCAGGATGTTTGTTTAACTTATGACTTATGTTAAGTATATCAAGGCAGTGATTTAAGAGTTTTCTAAATGCTCATCCATTTAAGCTTCCACGTATTACTTTGAGTCATGTGAGTTATAGTAAGTCAGGTCAAGGGTTCGCTTGAGGATCAGTAATGGTTCTCGAGTGTTGGCCACGTCCAGAGTGTAGACTCGGAGCGTGACATTAAACTAAAATTATTTTTTTCACTTTCGTTAGAGAAAAGAGGTATATGTGAGTCATTTGTATAACAGTAGGAGTATATATGAATCACTTTCATAATGAGGGTATAGTAACTCTAAATGACAAAGTTGAGGGATATATCAAACACTTTTTCCTTTTCAAAATAATATCGTTTTATATCTCTCAATAATTGTCCCGAGCTATGTTTGGTCAGTTTACACATTTTGCTTTCAAATCAGATGAAAATGTTCTGAGATGCCTCTTATGCACATTGTTCATGACTATTTTAGGACTTTAATTAATTTTAAAGTCCTAAATATTACTTAAATAGATAGAATTTCTTTTTTTATGTAAGGTAAAATTCTAATTAATTTAGTAGAGTTAAATATTATGATTTCTTATCTAGATCAAATTAAGACTTTGATTAAATTTTAAGCCTGAATATTAGGATAATAATTAAATGATTATCAAACCCTAAACTCTCCCCTTTTTTTTCATCATTTTCCAACCATTTTTCTTTATTTGTTCACACCTCTATTGCATATATTTTTTTCAACTTCCTCCTCCTTTTTTTAAAAAATTGGCACATGAATTGCCATGGTAGAATTCTTCATTTTCTTCTTTACAGGCTAATTCGTTTTTTTCTTCATTTTCATTTTTAACTTCTTGCCTCAGTGGAATTGTTTTCCACGTGGCAATTCATGTCTCAATTTTATTTATTTTTATTTTAAAAGATAGAGTGTAATGCACACATCATTATATATTATTTGAGGTGTGTTTTTCAAATTTATAATCATTTTATCTTTATATTAAATTAATACTTAAAACTAAATAGT